ACCCTAAACCCTAAACCCTAAACCCTAAACCCTAAACCCTAAACCCTAAACCCTAAACCCTAAACCCTAAGCTTTAAACCCTAACCCCTAAACCTAAAACCCTAAACCCTAGGCGCTAAACCCTAAACCTAAAACCCTAAACCCTAAACCCTAAACCCTTACTAAGTAGATGTTGTCATATTTGCTGCCTGGCAGCGGCGCCTCTTGAGATGAAAATCGGCCAACCCGAAAACCGCTTAAAGGATCAAAGCGAGGCACTTTCTGCAGCACAAACCCTAAACCCTAAACCCTAAACCCTAAACCCTAAACCCTAAAGAGGAGTGTATGGGTGAAGGCAAAGCGGCAGAGGAAGTGGTATGGCAGCGCATAAAACTCTAAACCCTAATTATACACCCTAAATATTAAACCTTGAACTCTTAATCCTAAACCCTAAACCCTAAACCCTAAACCCTCACCAAGAGGCCTTTGGTTTCGCTGGACCAAACCCATTTGGAGGCCAGTTCACGGATTCGTTGCTGCGGCAAAAAACCCTAAACCCTAAACCCTAAACCCTAAACCCTAAACCCTAAACCCTGATCCCGAATCCCTCAGCCTTATCCCCCATCCCCTAGACCCTAAACGCAAACCCCTAAACCCTAAACACTAAACCCTAAACTCTGCTTCCAAAACCCAAAACCCTAAACCCTAAACCCTAAACCCTGCTTCCAAAACCCTAAACCCTAAACGCAAACCCCTAAACCCTAAACCCTAAACCCTAAACCCTCGTCCGAGCATACCCTATCGAACTTGGCGTTTCTTTCTCTGGCTTTGATCATCAGCCATTCGTCTGCCCAACCCTCAACAGGAGGTGGTGCAGCAGCAGGCAGTGCATCAGGTGTAGCATAGCGGGGCAGCCTCTTTTGCTGCTCCTGCTGCAGCAGGAACAGCAGCTGCTGCAGCGCCTTCAGGGTAAATATCACCATCCGGTGCTTCAGCAACATATATGCATTCAAACCCTATACAACAACAGCAGCAGCAGCAGCAACAGCAACAGCAGCAATAGCAGCTACAGAGAACAATCGGACAAAGGTCTACAAGCTGATTTAGGGTTTAGGGTTTAGGGTTTAGGGTTTATGACACATTGCCTGCGGCTTAGAGCTTCGGGTTTAAGGTTTAGGGTTTAGGGTTCAGGCTTTAGGGTTTAGGGTTTAAGGTTTAGGGTTTAGGGTATATTGCCTGTGGCTTAGATCTCCAGGGTTTCACCTTCACGGTTTAGGGTTTAGGGTTTAGGGTTCCGGCGCTAAGGAGTAGGCTAAAAACTTAAAGCTTTAAGGTTTAGGGTTTAGGGTTTAGGGTTTAGGGTTTACAGCGCAGTTTGTTCTTTTTACACCCGTAATGTGGGCCGTGGCCCAGCGCAAATTTTCGTTGATATCTTCGAAGCCCTCCGCAACCAACAAAGCGCTGGGGCAATTTGCACCTGCACAATAAATATAATTATATTATTATTATTATTATTATGTTATTATAACTATATTATTATTATTATTATTATTATATTAATATTACTCTTATTATTGTTTTGTTATTGTTATATTGTTGTCTTTATTGATGTTTTTGTTGATGCTGGCTTTTTGTTTTAATTATATTGTTGGTATTATACCGGCAGCAAAAACAGCAGCAGCAGCACTAACCACAGCAGCAGCAGCAGCAGCAGCAGCAGCAGCACTACCCACAGCAGCAGCAGCAGCACCCACAGCAGCACCCACAGCAGCACCACCACCAACACCCACAGCAGCAGCACCACCACCACCACCACCAACACCCACAACAGCAGCAGCACCACCACCACCACCAACACCCACAGCAGCAGCAGCAGCAGCAGCAGCAGCAGCAGCAGCTTCTACCTAGCAGTCTGCGTAGATGCTTGACGCATTTATTTGTTTTGTGCGTCGACGCATTTAAATGCCGAACGATGATAATTTGCTCCTGGGCAAACTTCGCAGATAAGGCTTGCTCCAAACCGCGCAGCAATACTGCACACAAACCCTAAACCCTAAACCCTAAACCCTAAAACCACAAAGCCTAAACAATAAACAATAAACTGTAGACCTTAAACTGTAAACCCTAAACCACGTGTCCCTACTTACCAGGGTTTACAATGGTTTATAAGGGTTTAAAAGGGTTAATAAGGGTTTATCAGGGTTAATAACGGTTAATAAGGGTTCACAAGGGTTTCTAAGGATTTCTAAGGGTTTATAAGGGCTTGTTAGGGTTTATTAGGGTTTACTAGGGTGTATGAGGGTTTACAAGGGTTTATAAGGGTTAATTATAAGGGTTTACAAGGGTTTACAAGGGTTTACAAGGGTTTAAAAGGGTGTATGAGGGTTTATAAGGGTTTACAAGGGTTTACAAGGGTTTAAAAGGGTTTAAAAGGGTTTAAAAGGGCTTAAAAGGGTCAATAAATGAGTAGAGGTGCGTACAGCGTTTATTGCATTTGTTAGACTGATCATGTGGCCTGAGAGGATGTGTCTGTACACCTAAATATTTGCCGCATGCTTTACGCCAACCCATGCGGGCTCTGCCCGTTTTAATTGTTTGAGGTCTTTGCTTTTTGCTGCTGCCAGGCCAGTCCCATTTGTACAGCTGCAGACGCTCTGTCCAACCTGCTGCAGCACGACGCAGGTGCCAATACACCTGAAAATTCAACAGCAGCAGCAGCAAAAGCAGCAGCAAAAGCAGCAAAAGCAGCAACAGTGGTAGTAGTTGCAGTTGTAATGGTAGGAGTGGGGCAGCAGCAGCAGCAGCAGCAGCAGCAGAAGCAGCAGCAGGGGTACCAATAAGGGTAAGAGCAGCAGCAGCAGCAGCAGCAGCAGCAACAGCAACAGCAGCAGCAGCAAAGCATGTAGACACACAAAAAATATAAAGTGCTGCGGAAGCAGCACCAGCAGCAGCAGTATAGAAAAAACAAACAAACACGCAAATCACAAAGGCGAAGACGCAACAAACCGCAAACCCTAAACCCTAAACCCTAAACCCTAAACCCTTAACCCTAAAGTACAGCCAACAACAAACAAAAAGCAACACCAAACGCACATCAAGACAACCACGAAGACAGAGCATAAATAATAAAAATGCAACTCACAATAAAAAGAAGAATTATAATTATAATATTATAAAACAAATAAACAAACAAAACAAACAAATAAATAAACAAACACAAACCTGATGTAATATGTCCGGCCGCAGCGCCTGCCCAAACACCTCCCTGGGAACCTCTGAAGCAAACGCAGCAGCAGCAGCAGCAGCAGCAGTATCAGCAGCAGCAGAAGCAGCAGTAGGAGCAGCAGCAGCAGTAGGAGCAGCAGCAGCAGAAGGAGAGCAGCAGCAGCAGCAGCAGCAGCAAAAAGAACTGATGAAAACAAGCATCCACAACTGCAGCTGCAGCAACAGCAGCAGCAGCGGCAGCAGAAACAGCAACAGCACCACTAACAGCAGCAGCAGCAGCAGCATTAACGGCAGCAGCAGCAGCAGCAGCAGCAGCAGCAAAGGCTTGCCTATGAATTCTATCGGCTCCTTCTCCTCGCCCTCCCAAGCCTCAAAAGAATAAACGGGCAGCACAAGACGCGCGTCGAAACCAACAACAGGTACAGCCCAGTGGTGCCGATACACCGCACGCATATCCACGCTGCTGCTGCTCTTAATCATGCTGCTGCTGCTGCTGCTGCTGCTACTGCTGCTGTTGCTGCTTATGCTGCTGCTGATGACGCTGCTGTTGATGACGCTGCTGCTGCTGGTTTTGCTGCTGCTGCCGTCACTGCCAATGCTGCTGCTAATGACGCTGCTGTTGTTGCTGCTACTGGGACTGCTGCTGTTGCTGCTGCTGCTGCAGGTCGCCGGATTATTAGTAGCAGCTGGAGGGGTCGCAGCTGCAGCAGCCTGTTCTGTTGCTGCAGCTGCAGCAGCAGCAAAGCCCCGGACATCGTGGCGAAGAGCCAGCAGTGTGGATGGAGGCCTTCCGCAGCAGCAGCAGCAGTTGCTGCTGCTGCTGCTGTTGCTGCTGCTGTTGCTGTGCAACCAATGCTGCAACCTCAGAGCAACTGGGGGGCCCCTAGCAGCGGCCAGGGGGCCCCTCAGCAACCCGCGAAGCATCGACTGCAGGCCCCAGGGGGGCCCCTTAGGTGTGGGGTCAGGACAAGAAGGAACAGCAGCAGCAGCAGCTGCTGCAGCAGCAGTTGCAGCAGCAGCAGTACCAGCAGTTGCTGCTGCTGCTGCAGCCGGAGCACAAGGTGGAGAAGGTAGAGTAATGAGAGGGGCTTCCCTCGTTTTAAAAAAGAGTTAAAGAAGAAATATAAAACAAAATTAATGTTTGGATATACACCTGAGATAATAACAACACTATGCTAGGGCCCCCCTCTATGTTACGGGGGCCCCTCTTGTGGTGTTGTAGCAGAAGATTCTGTTGTTTGTACGTGCAGAAGAGAGAGTAAGATATAAATAAACAAATAAATAATAATTTAATTGATTAACAACGAAACAAAACAAATAATTATAATCAAAATATTATTTACTCCTGCAACAAAACCAACGGAAATAAGCCCTTGTGGCGCAATGGATAGCGCGTTGGACTTCTAATCCAAAGGTTGCGGGTTCGAGTCCCGCCGGGGGTGCTCTTATTTAATTTAATTTATTTCTTTTTTATTCTATTTATACTCTATTACATGCCTTTTACTGCAACATATATATATAAATATACATATAAATATACATATGTATATATATGTATATGTATACATATGTATATTAATGAAGGGCTTTCTACATACTAATATATTACTGTCATATATACATGTAAAGAAAAGCTTTCTTTCATTACTTTGTCTTCTTTACATACAAAAGAAATAAAAGATATTAATAACAACAATAATAATATCAAACAGCAACAACAATAACAAACCACTAGCTGAGTTTGAGGGGCCCCACATTAGGGTTTAGGGTTTAGGGTTTAATAAGCTATTCTATCTATTTAGACTAGTTCTAGAAGGCATTAAGGGTGTCCATACAGCATAATAGAACAGACAAAGAAAGAAGAAACAATTAACAAATATATACGATCAGCCAGTCGAGCCCAGCCCCTGTGGCGCAATGGATAGCGCGTTGGACTTCTAATCCAAAGGTTGCGGGTTCGAATCCCGCCGGGGGTGCTTTAAATAATAAATAAGATAAATATAATAACAATTAATTAATTAATTAGTTAGTTTAATTATTTACTTTATTTCTTTGTCTTTATTTTGCTTCTGTTGCTGTCTTGTATATCTATATGTCTTCAGTCTAGCATTAATAAAGAAGATTGCACACCCACATCTGCCTACTGCTGCACAGGCTCTGCTGCTGCTGCTGCTGTTGCTGCTGCTAATAATACTGCTCTGCTCTGTTGCTGCTGCTGCTGCTGCTCCCACAACCCCACATAAGCCCTTGTGGCGCAATGGATAGCGCGTTGGACTTCTAATCCAAAGGTTGCGGGTTCGAGTCCCGCCGGGGGTGTACAACCTTTTACTTATTTTCTGCTTCTGTTGCTGCTGCAGCTACTGTCGCTGTTGCTGCTGCTCTGCTGCTGTTCCAGTTTTCTTTTCTTTAATTTGGTGTCATTCAATTCTTGCTAACTTTGTATCTAAGCCTAAACCCTAAACCCTAAACCCTAAACCCTAAAATGGAAATCTAAACCCTAAACCCTAAAACCAAAACCCTCGAGATTAATTCGAAGTTCTGAAAGGTTGTTGCTGCTTCGTTTTGAAGCAGCAGGAGGTGTGCAGTTGCTGCAGTTGCTGCAGTTGCTACAGTTGTTGCTGCTGCTGCTGCTGCTGTTGCTGCTATTGCTGAAGGTTTGACTCTATGAAGGGGTTTGCGGGGGCCCCTCAGAAGCGAAGCCGTCATTGGAAGCCTTTTGCAGCAGAGACGGACGCACTTGCAGTCGCTGCTGCTGCTGCCGTTCCTCTTCAGCCCTGTAGCAGCAGAAGCAGCAGCAGCAGCAGTATCCGGTGTAGCAGCAACCAGAGCAGCAGCGGCAAACTTCTAGGCGGCCACAGCAGTCGAAACACGAACAGCATCACCAATAGCAGCAGCAGGTACAGCAACAGCAGCAATTGCAGCAGCAACAAAGGCCGCAGCAGGAAGCAAACGCAGCAGCAGCAGGTGCAGCAGCAACAGCACCGGGAGGGACAACAAAGCCACCAGCGGCAGCAGCAAAGCCGGCACCAGCAGCAGCAGCAAGCGCAGCAGCAAACGTAGCAGTAAGCGCAGCAACAGATGCAACAGTAAGCGCAGCAGCAAGCACAGCAGCAAGCGCAGCAGCAAGCACAGCAGCAAGCGCAGCAGCAAGCGCAGCAGCAAGCGCTGCAGCAAGCACAGCAGCAAGCGTTGCAGCAAGCGCTGCAGCAAGCACAGCAGCAAGCGCTGCAGCAAGCGCTGCAGCAGCAGCAGCAGCAGCACCTTCTTTTTTCTCTTTCTTTAAGTTGCTGCAGGGCCTTTGCCTTCCTCATTGCTGCCTGAGCCCTCTTTCGGTCTTTGTTTGTCTGAGGCTTTCCAAAGTATCGATTCTCCCGCAGCAGCAAATCCATACTACCTGCAGCAGCAGCAGCAGCAGCAGCAGCAGCAGCAGCAGCAACAGCAGCAGCACCAACAGTAGCAGCCGCAGGAAGAGCAGCCACGGCAGCAACGAAGCCACCAACGGCAGCAGAAACAGCAGCACCAGCAGCAAAAGCAGCAAAGCCACATGCGACAGCAGCAAAGCCAGCAGCAGCAGCAGCAACAGCAGCAGCAGCAACAGCAGTACAGGCTCACGCCACCAGAAGGCTGCCTCCTAGGGTTTAGGGTTTAGGGTTTAGGGTAAGAATGTGCTGACTAGGCGAGGGGTTTAGTTTTCTTTCGGGGGATTAGGGTTTAGGGTTTGCTGTGTGCAGCCTAATTCAAGCAGAAGGCCTATGAAGCTCGAGATTCCAATTAGGGTTTAGGGTTTAGGGTTTAGGGTTTAGGGTTTACCCGGCAAGTTCACTGGTTTAATATTCAAAAGGCGGAGGACCTGAGAATATCGCTCGAAGTCGCGAGTGCCTAAATACTGCAAAAGCCTGCAGCAGCAGCAGCAGCAACAACAACAACAGCAGCAGCAACAGCAACAGCAGCAGCAGCAGCAGATGATGATGATGAGAAATGAACGTAAGCACAACACTTGGAGGTGCAGCAAAGGAATAAAAAGCAAACGGCAGGAAGCGCGCAGCAGCAGCAACAGCAGCAACAGCAACAGCAACAGCAGCAACGGCAGCAGCAACATTAACAGCAGCAGCAACAGCAACAGCAACAGCAGCAGCAGCAGCAGCATACTTGCGGCGTCTCGCGACAAGAATTTTGAGGCCTCTGAGGGTTGCAAAATCTTTTCTGTGTTGCAGCATATGGCGAGTGAGGTGGCTTATCCTGAACCCCAAACCCTAAACCCTAAACCCTAAACCCTAAACCCTAAACCCTAAACCCTAAACCCTACCCCCAGGCTATTTAATCCTGAGCTGCAGTTAAGGCTGTCTTGCAAGCCCTTGCTCTCCTCAATCATAGACCCTCACAGCTTGCCCCTGCTTAGGGTTTAGGAATAAGGGCTTAGCGTTTAGGGTTTAAGATTAAGGGTTTAGGGTTTAGGGTTTAGGGTTTGAGGTGCCTTGCTGTTAGGATTCCTATTTGAACTTCACTGCTGCCGCTGTCTTTCGGGTGTCTCTGCAGCGCCAATCGATTCGCCACCGCCAGCAGCTTCTGCGTCGCTGCCTGCAAACCCCAAACCCTAAACCCTAAACCCTAAACCCTAAACCCTAAACCCTAAACCCTAAGCCGTAAGCCCTGAGTGCGAAACGCTACATCCCAGACTTCAAATTCTAAACTGCCGAGGCGGGCCTGTGGGGTGTATGTACACCTGAGGGCAGCGAAAACCCTAAGCCAGAGGCCCCAAACCCTAAACCCTAAACCCTAAACCCTAAACGGGTTTGTATGGGAGGTGTACGTACACCTGAAGGCAGCATGTCTTCTTTTTCTACTCCCCAAATCTCTTCGCTGTCTTCATCTAAATCCTCTTCTATGGCCTTCTCCACAGATCGCCACTTCTTGCTGCCTCGCTGCTGCTGCTGCTGCTGCTGCTGCTGCTGCTGCTCTTGCTGCTGCGGCTGATTGAGCGCCGCATCTTCAGAGGGTGGCGCTCCTGCAGCGGCAGCAGCAACAGCTGCTACTGCTGTTGTTGATGCTGCAGCAGATGAGGCTTCAGCCAGCGCAACGGGCCCCCCAGGACCGCATCTAGGACTGCCATTTGCTGCTGCTGCTGCTGCTGCTGCTGCTGCACAGC